TTAAAAATAAGTTTTTAGTCTGAGAGGGGGACACTGCACATCTGAAACCAGACCCCAAAAGGGCTTAACATCAGGGACCACTTGAGGCTTTCGTACTTTCATAGCTGGGGCTTTCTGCTGGAAGCAGGAAGGTGTTTTTGAAGTTTCCCTTCCCCTTTGAACGTGTCCTTGTTGCCGTATGGGAAGAGTGCACTGTGACTAACTCCCATAATAGCCTAATTTCATTAGTAGTTGAACTCAAAGAAGGTGATTGACGTGCAGCCCACTTCTTATAATTCCTCGTAGTCGTCATTGTGTGCTATTTTGTCAGTTCATTATGAGCCTTTAAAACTTGGGGGTATGTATTCCTTTACTTACTCAACTGACTTGTTATCACTAATTGGTATTTACGTAAAACATTGATTAGTCTTTTCCATTAAAAAATAATTGCAACCAGAGGTGTGGTATGTCTCCTTTGCAAGATGGTTAACAAAGAATGCTGCGGCACCTTGCCTAGATAACTTCTGTTTAGAAGCCACTGCAGCTCTGCTTCCATCCCCGTACTGGACTCACATGTTTTAGTTCTGGCCCTGGCACCCTGAACACCCCTCACAGGTAACTCCTGTCAACTGCTGCACCGAAATGTAAGCCCCTGGACAGGCGGCTGGTATCTCTAAGTCACCCAGCCCTTACTCAGCTGCTTTAAGTAGTACAGATTTAGACAGTGATGTGTGTTTCTCATCACTTTCAAACACTTGAGGAGGATTTATGGATTTTAGTGGCCTTCAGTCCTCCCATGGCTGTAGAAAAGCTCTGGTCTGGGTGCACAACTGGAAGTTAATTCCTGTCTGGCTCTTCTGTTCTCCTGGTTTTTGAGCATCAGACATGTTTTGTTCCTCCTTTGAGGATTTTTCCATTCCTTTAAGCTGGTAGAGGTGACTTAATCCAGGCTGCATTGTAGCATTAAGAGAACATTCTTACGAGACAGCATGCAGCTGGGCTTGGCAGCCTTTCAGTGATGATACCTTGAATTTCATGTGTGGGTGTGCACACACACAGTTCTTAAAATGGACTAGAGGTTCTTTGTTAGAAGCAGCCACGTGCAGAACTCCTGAACATCTATCCTGAGAACAGCTTTCAAAGAGAGGGAGAAAAATACTTCACCCCTTCCAAAGATGAGGAAGACAGAGTAGCTGGAGCAGAGAATGCTATTCCTGGCTTCTCTGGACAGCAGTTGGAGACCTTTTTTTGAACCATCTGAGATTATCAGGTTGTACCGAGGAATGGGGTCCTTTCTGAAATGCTTAATTCTACTTCTCTCCCTCCCTGTGGAGCTGGAGCAGCTATCTCCCACTTCTCCCTCAGCTGAGTTTCTGTAACAAACGAATCCTCCTAACTTGCTTCCATGCCAAATAAATAAACAACATGCGTTGTGGTCACATAATGTATATATTGGTGGAAGCATGGAGCTTTATGGCTAATTTCAGGCGGGAGACTCTTCACGAGCCAAGAGCGTGCCTGGTGCTGGCCTGTTCAGTCCCTGCCACCCAGAGCTGCTGTGGGCAGCAGGGGCTGGCACCCAGCTTCAGCTGGTGGGGGGCAGAGGCCGGCGCTCGGCGGGCAGCTGCTGATGGCAGTGGTGCAGTCTGGGCGAGTCACGAAAGCAAACTGCTTTCTCTGCTGGACACGCAGGGAGCTGGGGATGCCCATTGCAAAAGTGTGAGCCAGCCCCACTGCAGAGCCCTTTAAAGGGAGGAGCAGGCGGGTGCCAGTGGCAGCGGAGGCATCCTTCCCTCACCGGCGCCGACCTGGAGCCGGACTGCTCGCAGGGCTGCTGGGGCACCCAGACGCCCAACTCCTTGGGCTCAGACCTGCTGTGGTGGAAGTCACAGGACAGGGAGAAAGGGTGGCTGACGGCAGAGAGAGACATCCGAGGGGAACGTAAGGCCGGTACTAATGATGCTGTGGAAGCACCAGAAGAGGCTGTAGTGCCCTTTGGTGTCACGGCAGTGCCTGGCATGCAACAGCACAGGCCAGTACTCAGAGCGTACACAAAGCTCCACTTAAAACGTACCAATTTCCTATCTAGAATTTATTAAGTATAAGTGTAACCTTCTGTTAAAGCAAAAAAAGGATTTTTCTCCTGCTTTTTCAGTCCCAGATTTGGTCAGAGGAAACACAGGCTATGAACACTGGATCATTTTTCTGCCCTAACATACATTTCTTTCCTGTTTTCAGAAGTAGGTTCCACTTCCTGGAGGAAGCTGGAGATTCCACCACATGACTAGTCATTTTTCAACAAATTCCCCCAACTGTAAGAGAAGTTGCCTGCTGACAGGGAATGGTCAAAGTGGTTTGCCAAAAAACACAAAAGCAGCTTTACAAGATTCAGAAAGCGTTCACTATTCCGTTTGTCTCAAACTCCCTCACTTACTGCCACAGCATGGAAAGCTGTCTCAGATCTATCAGGAGAACTAGATGCTGTAACTGGCACTGCAGGAGGATAAAACACCACTCTTCAAGATGGCCAAGGTCTCCTATGCTCACAGGAAACATGGCATGGGAGGACTATTGCTTGCTTGCCACATCCTGTTTACAGCTTGATTTTAGTTCTTTTATTCCTATTGAACTCAGATACACTTTTGGTCACAGTTTTAAGTAGCAACTTTGTACTGATTAAATTGTGAACACAGCAAGTCTTGACATAGAACATCATAAAGATGTTCTCTGTATTCCATACTTAAAATTCACCTCCCTCACTGCTGCCTCCATGTTGATTGTATTTCATTGCTCAAGCTATGGGTCACTCCATTTACAAACAGGTTATGAACAAAAGCTTTTAATAGCCCTAGAAACACAGCTATTTCAGAAAAATAGCTATTTCAGAAAAACGCACTCAGCTCTGCCCCTGAGGCAAGCAATTCCAGGAAATTTGAGGTTATTGCAGATCCGATAACACGCTAAGTTGTCTCAAGAGTCAGCCTAGCCTTAAGGTGGTGGCAACTGTGAACTTGCAAAAGCTTGTTCCTACATTATCTGCAGTGCACCTAAAAGGAAATTTGTGAAGCTTCACAGTTTTCCCACTTCAATTAGGGACAGAGTGCTTCTGGCTTGTATTTCAGTCCTGAAAAAGTCTCTAGCTAAACTGAAAGACACCTTTCAAAGTTCCTGACACTTAGAAAGCAGCCCTCCCCCACCACCAGCCACCAAAGCAGCTATCAGTCCTTCATCCAGCATCGTCAAATGCATAGGAGAGTAAGTCCTACTAAGAATAACAGCAACATGTGTGGGGAGGAACACACCAATGCCTACGGGCAGAGAAGCAGCAGCTCGGGAAGAAAGTGCATGCGTTTTCCTGATGCCCCACCCAACAGTGCTACGCAGCTGGTGCCGATGTCACCTTCCTGCAGCCTGTGAGAAGGACAGTTTCTTTGGTGGTGTGGCCCTCAAAAAATGCATGCTGGGAGGTCCAGCTCTTACACCACAGCAGTAATGGCCCACTGTCTTTTAGCCCACTAAAAGACAGCAGAACATAAGGCTTAACAAGAAACAGCATTTACAAAGCAGGTGCGAAAAGACCTGTTTTCTTTCCTTTATGGTACATCTAGTTAAGTGCTGGCATATAGCATCTGCTGTGTATCCAAGCAAAGCTAATAATTGGGTTCAACTGTGAAGCCTTGTTAGCTAGAGCACTTGCTCTATAAAAACCTAGTCTCAGGAGTCATTGTCTCCTAAAGAAGCTTCTCGGCAAAGTTACATTTCTCATCAGAGGAAGGTAAGAGCTACTACCTTCCCTCTATTGCTTTTTTGAAGTTTGTTTTGTTGCGCAACAGTTATCAAGAGCTGTTTAAACAGGGAGAACTCAAAGTAAACTCTTATTTTGCATTAAGTTGTCTACCGAGCAGCAAGTTTCTCATTTTTCCCTTGCCCTGCCTTTCTGCTGTCTCAGACCTGTTTAATTATTTAAAAACTTAAGGAATGAGATGTTACACAGTAACTCTGATTACTGAACTAATTCACAATTTACTGTTTAATTTATCTGCAAACAATGCTTGGTACATGGTTTAATTTTAACACCAGAGAAGGCGAAGGTTCATCGCACATCTTCATT